CAGGAAGGGTTGAATATGGTGGTAAAGAGAATCATACACCAATGATTCAAACAATTTACCGAGGCAAGACAAGATGATAAGTCAAGTGAAAGGCTGGCACTGGGGTGCCCCGGCCCAGAGATTAGAACAACCTACCACCTCCTATGGCCCCACCGACCCTCAGGTCATACGGGCCGAATTTCGGGAGATGCGCGCGGTACTTGCACGTGGCTCTTTCCCGCGCACACTTTCTTGACTCCCTACAAATATTTAATCTATTCCTTGTCCCAGTTTAACGTCATTCTCTCCCTTCTGGGGCTGACGACACATTGACGCCGACGTCGTCGGGCCCTCCTACCAGCCTTTCATCCTGCTGCCTTGTCCTGCGATCGTGCCACCTATGCGCAAACTCGCGCAACAGTCCGTAGTTTACCACATCGCTGACGAGATCCGAGTAGTAAACTGGTCCCTGAACCGGACGAAGTAGTCCATCCATAATTTTTACTCTTAAGTCATCATACAGAGGACATTCCCATAGAACATAGTGAACATCCTCCTCTGACATACCGCACTCACACATACTAATTTCACACAGTTTGATATCGCTCAGTCCCTTCCGAAAGCATCCATGTTCGGTGAGAATCTGAGAGGTTTGGTAGTCCGGTGAGACCCAGGTATACCTGAGTCTCAACGCCACGTCCGGGAAAAATCGATGTAGCTCACGTCCTTTTGTATCACACGTCCATCTATTCTGCCAGGCGCCGATCACCTCAGTCCAGATATCGCGATTCCGTCTGCTCAACTCCTCTTTGGGCGCGGTCAAACGTGCTATACCCATCCTACCAGCACGGATGACCTCTAGGTCAGCAGGGAGAACGCCAGCCAGCAACGGTAAGGCCGCCGTGATGGTGGATCGGTACGCCTTGGTTAACAATATAAGAGCGGATCGCTGCGATCTCAGTAGTACGCTACGAACTGTGTACATGTTTGCACGCTCGTACTAGTATTCTGCCGCATACGTAAACGTGGACACAAACACTCCTCTATAAATTAATTTTAAACTCGGATATCGTACACCCCATGATGATGTAGATACGCGAGACATCTTGCCAATTCCCTTGGTCGCTCTTTCAGAGATATCGGATGCATGTTGCACAAACGATAGTCCCGAGTCTAAAACCACGCCTAATACCTTAATGTTAGTCACAAACTTAATAGATTCCCCACCAAGTTTAATAACGGCGGGGCGCTGAAGTTTCCCTCTAACAGTCATGGTGGTCGACTTTGAGGAGGAAAACTGCAGTCGATTCCTTAGCCCCCACTCCCGTACAAGGTCCAGAGTGACTCTGGCCCTGGATTCGATACCCGCTCTCGTTCCCGATTCAATCAAGATTGTAACATCATCGGCATAGGCAGTCATGGCTACTCCCTCGGGCAGAGAGAGTCGGAGCAGGTCATCCATCAGCACATTCCACAGTGTTGAACCCAGCACGGAGCCTTGAGGACATCCCATGGTCGACGTCTTCCACTCTACCCGGTCTCCGATGTAGAGCCCCACACGCCTCGAGGTGAAGTAGTCCACCAACATTCTATAAATGTTGGGTGGACATCCACCCCTTTGGCCTTGAACATCATCATCGGCCACCAGGCATTGTCGAAGGCCGGAGATATCTAAGAATATTGCTTGCACGTAGCATGCCTGAGAATACCTTGCCGTGCTGAGCAGTACACGCAGCGGTGTTACTGTAGACCGCCCCGGAGAAAATCCGTGCTGGTACTCGGATATCCCGCGGCTAATCGCGGGAGCACATCTTAAAATTACTCGTTCCAATAATTTTCCCAAAACAGGGAGGAGCGTTATTGGACGGTATGCCTTGACGTCGGTGAGCGGCTTGTCATTACCCATGGGAATGACAATCAGTCTTCCGTCCTTCCATAGATTGGGGAAAACCCCCTCTTCCACACACTTGGCATACACCGAGTGAAATTCCCTCGGTGCCACAATCCACACATTCCTCACGATTCTCGCACTCACTCCATCGAGTCCCGGAGCCGTGTTGGGCAAGGCCTTGACTATACCACCCAGGTTACCACCAGGTACCCACCTTAAGAGAAAGAAGACGGCAGGGAGCTGTCTTCCATGAATTCGGGACTACGCCTTGAGGTAGGAGTACCGGAAAAGACGCGTTAAAATCGGTGCCAACTCCGGAGCACACGTCTTCAGTACAATGGGTGGGACTCCATCAGGCCCATTCGACTTGCTGACGTCCAGGGAGAAGAGTGCTTTACGAACCGAGCGCTGTGTAAATCGCACATCTGGCATGGAGCACTCACATGTCATCTAGAGTCGAGTTGGACGCAAAAAGGGAGCTTAAAAGATCAGCTTTCTCCTTTGTGGCATGGGCCAGTGAGTCGTCCTCTCTGTGCAGAGATGGAAGAGATGGCTGACAGAAGTTCCCTTGGACAGCCTTGGCGAGGGACCAGAATGCACGGGTTCCCGAAGGAAGGTGAACTAGCTTCTCGCCAATTCTGCCGATGTGCCCAGACCTTGCCTTGGCAATGACGCTTTTGAAGGACCTGGAGGCGGAATTATACTTCTTTTTAAGTGCGCTGGTGTTTACATCCCGAGACTTTGGTGCGTCAGCCCAGGCCCGGTAACACTCCTGCTTATAGCGTGATGCTATTTTACAGGAGCGACCAAACCATGGCTTGGATCTGCCTCCGATGGCAGATCCCAGCCATGTTTCTATCCCTGAAGTACCACATCAGCAACAGAATCGGCAACTACACTGGGATCTTCCGGCGAGAAGCAGACCCGCCCCCAAGGGTAGGATGCAAAGAAAAACCGCATCCCGTCCCAATCGCCTGACCTATAGTGCTAAACACGGCGGCAAGCTGCAGATCGCAACTGCAATGGGAGCGTGAGTGGTACCGTACTCCGGACCAGACAATGGTCCGAAGACCCCACCGACGGAGACCTGATATCCGTCCGGATGAGAGGTCAGCAGAAGGTCCAAAGAGGAAGGTACATGATCCTCCACATCTGGGATCCGCGTAGGCGAAGTAACCAGTTGTGTTAGACCAATGCCAAGGCAAAGTCATAGACAGATCTATCCGCATGATCGGATAAACGAGAACCAAGCCATTCAACGTGGTGGGCGTTAAAATCACCGAGTATCACGGTCTTTGCGGATGGGACCTGTTGTAGCACGGAGTCTGCAGCCATTTGGACGTGGTCGATGAGTCGGTCTGTGTCGGCATTACCGCTATGGGACCTATAGAGGCACCCGTAGACGCGGAGATGGTTGTCGCTGTCTACGCGCAGCCATAGGATGGACAGGTCCGTACCTTCAAGACCGCCGAGGCGTCGAAAATAGATGTCCTCTCTAACGTATATGCAAACCCCAGCCCGAGGCACACAGGAGTTTTCTAATTTGTACCCCGGGTAGGACAGATATGAAGTATCAGCCGGAGAGGACACCTGAGTCACGGTTAAAAAGAGCAAGGGCGGCTAGATGGTAAGAAATCCCCGAGCAGTACCTATTAGTCGCGAGCGGAATTTTGCTCCCCCCCCCCCCCCCCCAGAATACGCGAGGCAGCCTAAACACCCACGCTCAGGAGTGGAGTAGTTTGGTCGTGGATGCTCAGCGAAGGATTCTCCAAGGGTGCTGGTACCCTCCTGGTGTAGTCTTTTCTTTCATATTAATGGGGGGGGGGGGGGGGGGGGGGGGGAATTGGGCCTCCGGCCACCTGCACTCACCAAGCGCAACGCAGAGGTAAACCTCTACTTCACGCTGGTTTTCTGTCAGGTCGTGGTACCACCCCGGTTGGTGCTGGCCCATCCGTGCGACAGCAGAAGCTGCCGCGTGACTCTACCACTGTAAAATTAAATATAAAGTAGTAATATAACGTTATTTATATTACATCTTAGCCCGTGGACATTTTGTTTTTTAATCGAGGATATATTTAGGTGACTATGTGCCATAGCAGGTTGAAATGTAAAACTTTGAAAGGATTTTTACTTAATAAAAAGAAGTAAAACGAGTTTGAGACAAAATGGAGTCTGTGACAATGAGCTAAAATTGTATATTTTATAACAAAATATAAATTTGATATACAATCCAGGAAGAAATATTTATTTGATTTCAAGAAACTTTTCCTTGAAATGTCGGAGCTGTATCACATTCACGCATTGTAGCACAAACGATTGAATTCAAAGCAATTACGTTAGCAATACGTCTGTTATATAAATTTAGAATAAGATATTGTGTACATTTTATTTTTATATGCCGTATAATAGCGGCGTTAGAGAATTCACTATCCCATATCGTTTCGTGCGTGCCGTAAAAGCCACAGAGAAACACTATGCCATATATTCCTCAAGCCTATGGGGAGGCCTATGATTAGCCGAGGACCTTCATAGTGTAACGCTCCGCCCCTATTTGTATAGAAAAGAGGCCTTCTAATGCAAAATATAATTATAATAAATGGTATAAAATGCCTCTCTCCAAAGGATCTTTCTAAATGTTTAATTATAGGCCGTTTGTTACATTTATGGCGTGATCATCTTAGTCGCGTTATTTGTTTAGTAATTTAGTTTTTTTAAGTGTCTCTTGGAAAAATGAATATTCACTAGAGCAATCGAAAGCCGTTGGTAGTGCTTTATAATTATTTTAAGCTAATGAACCATGTTCACGAAAAAAGTTAGTATTTCACTTGTATCAGTTTACATTATATACATACATGCATACATAAATCAATTCCTTACAATTAATCCCTTCTAACTTGAAAAAGGATCAAAATATTTATATAAAATACCTGAAGGGCTTCGATGTTCCACAATGGGCTGTTATGAATGAATGAATGCGGTCCTTCCCCGTTCGAGCTGACCCGTTTGTGCTGCCGCAATAAAACACTGGAGAGTGGCTCTACTAGGTATCACATTTGTAGATAATAATTAAATTTCGACATGCCACCTAATGAACCATCTGGGGTAAGCGCAACAATGTTTACGTACTCACCTCACATTTTCATATCTTTGAATGTAGATCTTGTGGAATTGTTCCTGACGGGGCTGACTAGCGATGTCGGCTTTCATTTCCATCGCAACGTGACGCGGCAGGACCGACAACAAGAGACGTTCCTGAAACAAGTACTTTTATTATAGTTATTTTGTGAAAGGCCGGAAAAAATTAAACATACAATTAAAAAAAAACTGTCAGTCGTAGGATTGCACGTCAGGATATACACACACATCTATACATATATATATATATATATATACACAACGTGTTACAAAATACCCTGTATAAAATATAATTAATTATCAAAGCCAAAAATATTGTCAACCCTAGGAAGCTGTCATGTCAGGTAACCAGATTATTTCACAGAAAGGCCTACGTACCTATTTTACCGAATAATTGTCTACTTTAATAGTTTTTATATTTTGCATTCATAAATGTTTGCTACCTCAATACAAGGATAGGACCGGTGCTATGGCCTGCTTGTTCTCCGGACCTCACACCCTTGGACTTCTTTTTGTGGGGTTATGTGAAGGACAGTGTATTTCTCCGATTGCCCGGCGGTTGCCGAGATGGAACAGCGTGTTAGATCGGTTTTCGCATCAATAACACCGACGTTGGTGCGAAATGGCACACAATCCATATCCCGACGAGCGAGGCTGTCTATTGAGCAAGGCGGAGCACACTTTGAGCCGTTTTTTGTAAATTTGACGTTTATTATGAAAAAGTAAGTGTACGTTAAGGTTGTTTCTTTAGGTTAGGTCTTTTAAAACTTTTGTCGTTCCGCGAATTAGGAAGAAATGTAGGTACATTCTGCGTAGTTTATTATTTAATTACTGAAATGGGGTTTGCACATCAGTGAAAATAAAAATATTTTTTTATTTTTTTGGGGTATGTTATACAGCGTTACTACGGTTCTTAAATATTGTGAATGGACTCGTTATAAGGCCCCATTTAACCTCCTTTCGGCTTTATTTAAACTTCAAAAATCTAAAATTAATTTCATAAATAGAAATAACGAGTATATTTTTATGTCTATATTAGACTTTATTTCTACACAAAATTTCAAACAATTACGTAAAATAATTTAATTTAGAAAATTATCACAGTACTTATAAATAGTGTTTTCTAATGATATAAATAATTAAAAAAGCACAATTTTATAGAACTGAATAATATCATCAATAATATTTGATCAATTACCGTGCGGACGAGCCAATTTAATAAAATTGTACTATGAATAATGTAAGCCAATTAATTTAAAATTTGCTTCTGCCGTTTCATAAAAGTTATTGGAAAAACGCGAGTTGCAGTTTACGATAGATTTTCTGTTTTTTTTTTGTTTTAAGATTGTTTATTAAATTTAAAAGAAAGTTTGCGCTGTCTACGAGACTGGTAACAAGTATAATTAAACGAACTCAGCTACACGCTTGATACATAAATAAGATAACATTATTTATTTTAATTAACGTATTAGTTTCACGAAGAATTTTCTTAATTGCTATCAGTGCGAATAAATCTTTCGAGGGTGTTAAACAAGCAGTAGTATAAGGCGTTACCTAATTGCAGCCGAAGAAATATGTTAGTTTCTTCATATTAATATCAATAGGCAACGAAAATTTATTACGCTTTTTACATATAGATAATTAATTTTTCCCGCGGCTTTGCCTAATTGGACTTCGCTTTAGCGATAATCAGTGTTCCATGCTAATAGTCCTTGCAGTCTGTTAGCATGTCTGTTTGTCTCAAGATTTTTATTAAGAAGTTTTTTTGTAAATTTATTACAACCATTTTCACTTTCCAAGTAGTAAGCACCCTTATAATTACATCTGAGAATAGTGATAGTTAAATGTTTTCGAGAACACAACAACTATTTTTCATTATAAATGAATAGCCTATATATATATATATATATATATATTTATTTATTTATTTATTTATTTATTTAACAATTTATGTACACACAAAATAATGTTACAAGGAAGAGAAAAAAAAAAGATATTTTGTACAAAGGCACTGCTTATTTCATATTGAAATTTCTTCCAGCAGGCCTGATACTGGACAAATTAAAAGAGAAGCTGATCTAGTGTGCACTCTCATAATAAAATTTTATAATATTAATATACTTAACATAAAGTAAAGATAATAAAAACAAATATCCATTATATATAATGTATAACGAGTAGTAACCGTCATAGCCCACAGGATTAGTAAGCTGAATTGGCAATGGGCCAGCCATATAGCTAAAAGAACTGACAACCGATGGGGAAGCAAGGCTCTCGAGTGCCAGTCTCGTACCGGAGGGCGAAATGTAGGGCGTCCCCCCACTAGATGGAGTGACGACCTGGTAAGACATGCAGGAATTCAATGGATGCAGGTGACTCGCGACCGTGCTTTGTGACATTCCTTGAGGGAGGCCTATGTTCAGCACTGGAGTTATGAAAGGCTGTAATGATGATGATGATGATATTTTACATATCAAGACCTCTTTTCTGTACAAATGGGCGCGGAGCGTTACACTATGAAGGTCCACTGTTGATTATAGGCCTCCCCATAGGCTTGAGGAATATATGCCATAGTGTTTTTCTCTGTGGCCTCTTACGGCACGCACGGAACGTTATTGAATACTGAATTCTCTAACGCCGCTATTATACGGCGAATAAAAATAAAATGTACAAAATATCTTAACACTGAACTAAACATAGGCAGCAGTGGAATTGTGAAGGGCTGTAATGATGATGTATACAATATACATACCGTACACTAAATACCCGCTGGGTACATTCTCTTTCATTTCTGAGGGGATTGAGCACGTGGTAAATTAGCATTTAAAATCATAAAATATTTTCGGTGCCGGCGGGAATGGAGCCCGGTTTGCTCGCGCACTGTGAAATTCACAGTAAGCCCTTAACCCCTGAGCTACCACGGCTGAGCTACAAGAGCTATCGCATATTAAAACACTTCATATTAATGTTCAATAATAACCTTTTATTTCTTATGTTCATATCGGTAAAAACTATTCTTTCAATTATTTCTCGACACATTTGTTAAAATTAAAATTGTAATAAATGAAAATTTGTAAAAGGTATTTTCGTAATAATTATCCACTTGTGGAGTGTGATTACGAAGCCATTGGATGGAGTGTTATTTTCTTCAAAGTGACCTAACATGTTTAAGGATTTTAATGAACGCTAAGCTAGCACATAATTGGTGAGCAACACTCGGCAATTTTCTTCTTGTTACGCGTTAAGCGGCAAGAGGACACAATAGAATCGGATGGAACAATCGTATTTTTTTTATCTGAAGCGCGGCAAAAGGAAACGATGTGCAGCCTCTCTAAATATAATATCTTTTTCATACTTTTTATTACATTAAATTGATATGAGGAAGATGCTGCTGCCAATCTCCAGTCTTATTTCTCTCTGCCGTCTCTTAGGATACCGCAGCAGCATTAAAAATCCACGCAAACATATACTTACCTTTTTCTCTTCCATTTACTGTGAAGCGTGGCCTTTTAAATCTTACAGTTATTTTTTAATAAAGTTTTTAATCCATATTGAAAAACTTTGTGGCATTTTAAAATTAAATTTATTATAGACAAAATTATACATTCTATAACTATAAATTTTTCGGATTTCAAATATTTAATGATAGCTTTATATCCCATAGGCGACGAATTTATTTTAATTAACTATATTTTTGGTTAAATGTTTGTTTTAGTACCTATTATATTAATTTGTAATTACTGCTATAATTTATATACAATTATGTTATTTTGATGTGACGGCGTAAACTAGAATTTGAGGGTAATTAAGTCTCAATATATTTGAATTTTCGCAAACTCTAAACCATGTCTATTATTTACTGTACATAACATATATTACGTTATGTTTATAATATATTATATTATGTAGTTGTATATTTAATAATGTGAATCAAAGATGAAATTGTTTTTATTACCGTTTGTGGTTGGTATCTTATATTTATCTCAGACTTGGTAACAAATATTTTTCTTCCATTTGGCAGCGCTGAAGCTAAACATTTGGGTACGACATAGTCGATCGCGGTTTCGGGTCCCGTATAAAACTGATATTTGTACTTAGTGCAAATAACTTTTCTGGATCTTCGTGCTTAGCGACAATTTATACTCTGTGCAACTATTTGACCACAGACAATTATGTGTTTGCCATTGGTAGTATGAACGAAAACCATGAATTTTTATATATTTTAATATATAGTTTAATTTAATGTATTTGTAACAAATGTTATATATATATTTTAGCTTTCTGCAATCTTTTACTATATGAAATTTAACTATGCCTAATCTCACATTCCTCCATGCGCCCATTATGCTTCAAAAGTGCGTGAAGGTAGAAACTTTCTCTTCGCGTATTAGCATATGGATAGCGTTTACTTACTCAAGGTTTGTATGTTATCCAGATCGAATTTCGGTCACAGTGGCCAGTCTAGACGGAGTCTAGCCATCTTGCAGGATAGGGTTATAATGTTCGAATGTTTGCGCAAGCACTGGTGCACAATCTATTCCTTCACTCTCATAGTCCGATGGGACGGCAATCCAGCACGAGATCCTGACGTTGAGAGATTTAAAGAGCAAGCTCTAACGGTACAAATTGCTTAGCATTTTCCTCGCATCCCGGTTGTATGTGCAACTAACGGGCTTGAGCAAAATTTCTCTAAATTCGCGCTTGCCTTGGGTGTTAAAGGAAAAACGAAGCAATTGATATTTTATTGTAGTACATGTAATACTGGTATTTAACTGTAGTTTTTATTTTTTTTTACATCATTTTATTCATACGTAGAAATTTAGATCTTTCCTTTTAAAGGGAGTTTTAACACTCCAGTCGTTTTTTTTTGACAGTGGCATTTTTATTTGACGATCTGAAAAAATAATAAAATCAAAATAGAGCTGTAAGGTGCAGTGCTACTGCAGTCCATTAAAATATGCAACCAAAACAAATTTTCATTTGAAGACGGTAGATTCATTAAAATCAAGATACATTTCGTTTGAAGATGCGATGTGTCTAACTGATGAATCTAGTTTTTTTTGTTACGAAACATTAGTAAGATGTTAGTACTAAGATGTTAGATAATATTTACTAGA